AGAGACACAACCGCTAATTATTAACCTGCAAGACGACTCGGATTCCGAAGATGATCCTGTTTATTTTGAATTTGAATAGTTTTGTAAGTAATCGTAGTTTATATCATTTAAAAATAGGTATTAATTAAATAAATGTATCTTTTACAAATTGCAAGTAACTTATTATTTTTGAATAAAATAAAGAAATTTTTTTTAAATAAAAATACAGTTTACAGTACCTACAGTTTAAGAATATTAATATATTTATTTATTTAAAGTAACTAATGTTTTAATCATATACTCTACGACACTGGTCACTCATTTCCACTCAAAATACCTACATAATCGGATTAAAAGTTTTATAGCTGTATTGTATTTCTTCAGATACAAGGTGGGTTAGTCGAAAACATCTTAAACTGCCAGTTTTAGTTTGGTTTTTGTTATTATATCATATTAGCTGTCTTCTCTGTATTTCAGTTCTCTAATGAGGGTCAAACTTGCAGTGAGCTATCAACAAATTATGAACGGACTATACCTGTATAATTGAAGGCATCAAAGCAACTGTAAAATTTTAAACAAACACTGATAGCATATTTGTTAAAAAATTGTTATTATGCACTAGCAGATTTTTTTATAATTATTAGGTATATTCTTCTTTCATTATCGCCTCATTTAATTTTTATAACTGTCTTTTAGTATCTTCATTTTATTGTGTTGACAGTTTCCTTAACAACTTTATAGTGTCTTTGTGGAAATGAAGTATTAGTATTATCATCAAAAGCAAACAACAATTTACCTTTGCCAATGCCAAAATCTGCAACATCGAAGTTTCTATAATTTGTGAGGGCAAAAAAATTAATAATCATTTACGTAAATTCCATAAAAGACATATTATATCATGGAAGAATATTATAGTGATGATACATCTAATGGAATAGGAGTCTTATTCAGTCTATGTATTTTTAATTAACGCCGTTTCGACATTGTCTATGTCGTATCGTAGCATTTAAACATATAACATATATGTGTTTATGGATGACTGACCCTTTACTTGATGAAAATCAATAATACTGTCCATGATAATGATTGAACAATTTTCACAATTTTTTTTATTCTAGAATCTAGACACATTTTGCGTAGTAATAGTACACGATGGACTACATTTTTTATATACCACAGTATTTGTTACCTCACTTGATTGGTTAATGGTAAATGAGATAACAGGTAGATTTTAAAAAACAATATAATCTCAGTTCTTGGACAGCAGATAAATTTTGAATGACTAATATTGGCATTATGAAAAAAGGTGTAACAATGGTGAGTGGTTGAAGACCAACAAAAGTTTTTTAGAAGTTTCTTCAATGAAAATTCACTAAAAACCAGTATTAGTTGAAAGTTATAAGATGGTAGTAACAATTATTAAGTGTAGTTTTTCAAATAAATAATTTTCAGATGACATGCCTGCTGGACAGACACCTCACACTGTGGTTCTATTTGCACACAATGATCTAGTGGATGGAGTTCATCCTGGTGACCGTGTTACTGTTACTGGAATTTATAGAGCCCAGCCTTTGCAATTGAATCCTCGCATGCGAAATATTCGATCAGTTTATAAAACTCATATTGATGTCTTACATTACCGTAAAATTGATCATAAGAGACTCTACGAAGAAGAAGAAGGGTAAATGTTTTACTATAATTCATTAACTTCAACGGTAATAATTTTTGTAATTATATAACATTGTATAAGGAAAACTTTAATCTCTGACACTCACATTTGTTTTTTTATTCCAGTAAAGATCATCGATTCACACCAGAACGTGTAGAATTATTGAATATTTTGTCACAAAAACCTGATATTTATGATCGCCTAGCCAGAGCAATTGCACCTTCGATTTATGAGAATGATGACGTGAAAAAAGGTATATTATTGCAACTCTTTGGGGGAACCAAAAAAACATTTGTTACTTCTGGCCGTTCCAATTTCAGAGCTGAAATCAATATTTTATTGTGTGGAGATCCAGGTGAGAATTATATTTTTAAATGCATGTGCATATGATCGGTTGAATCTAGTCGCTTCAAAATGCTTTTGTATATATTAAAATGGCTTTGTGTTGCACATAATCCACTGACTAATATTTATAAAAGTTACAATATGGAAATGTTCAGATTACTTTCGATAATGTCGAAACCATCAAAATTTGTTTCACTATATTTCAATTTTTTTGAATGTGATAGAAGGTTTATTTTTTTATTTATCTACGGGTAACCCCAATTTGTATACACGAATTCAATACATTTTAGGAAGTAAACACTAATACTAATCTAACTTTAATTATACTAATAACCTAAAAATAGAAATATTTGAATATTTGAGCACTTAGTCCTGTGATTTACAGTTGAATATTTTTCAATCTATTTCTAAGAGAACATTGAGGAATATAAAACAAGTCAAAACATTTGATTGTTCCGTGTCCTTCTAGGAGGTACGTGAAGTTTAATTTCAGAAAGAAGAGTTGAACAATCAATTTTCAAACTGAACAACTTATGGAGGAATATAATATCTGCATGAATTCTACGAGTACCTACTGAGTTTCGATATATCTGTTTTGAAACTGATATCTGAGAGTGAGTGATCGATCAGAGGCATGCTCAGTTTAAAGGCAATATATTTCAGGAATTTATTCTGAACTTTCTCTATGTTATAACTGTAAAGTTCATATTTCGGGGACCAAACACAACTGCAGTATTCCAAAATTGATCTTACCAATGAAAAGTACAATGCCTTTATGGAGTTAACATTTGTGAAATCCTTTGTTAATCTGCATATAAAGCCTAACATTTTCATCGCTCTACTAGTGATATGTTCATAATGGAGATGGAAATTCATTTTGGCATCGACTACACGTATAGATCACGATCACGTATAGATTTTACAGATTCCAATGGTTTACCTTCAATTGTGTATTCAGTGATGAAGTGATTACTTGATCGAGAGAAAGACATACTTTTGCATTTAGTTGCATTGACATCCATGCAGTTATCAGTACACCAATCTATGAAAGATTCAATATCAATTTGAAGTTTCTCGCAGTCCTCTTTGGATTCAATAGTCCTGAATATTTTAAGATCATCAGCAAACATCAAAATTTCAGAATGATTGATATATTTTTTAATGTCATTAACAAAAAGATTGAACAAATATGGTCCCAGGTGGCTTCCTTGTGGTACCCCCGAGCTAACAGAGATTTCTCGAGATACAAATCCCTTGATTTTCACGAATTNATAACAGGAAAAATTATAAAGAGTACTTTTATGATCATTTTGAAAGATTGATTAAAATATTCATTAAAAGTGATAGGGAAAAATTATTTTTTCTTTAGTAATATACAGTAAAAATCATAGAAGTGATCAGCATGAGATAGTGAACTTTTACTCAAGCAATAACCGCATCATGAAAAATTTTAATATTTGATTTGGAAATATAAATGATGTAAAACGCGTTTTTGAACACCAAATAAATCTACATTTTGAAACCGACTTTCTCGTTTAACTAACCTCAAAAGTGTAAAAGTGTACTTCATTCTGGATTGTAATAATATTGTTGTAAATCATGCCCTAAAGAAAATAGCGCCGGCCGCCACTGGTAGCCATAAACCAATTGTGATGTAGCTAAGAGCGCGCGAATGTACGATGTTCGCTGCCACTCTAGATATAACGAGAATAATGCTACCGTCTTCGATAGAATTCCGAGGAATGTTCCAGGGCCTTCGATTGCCAAATATAAGCGCCATCTACTCGCCCATCGAGAGAGTCAAGTGGATGTTACAGTGAGGTACGAGAAGCGATCTAGTAAGGCGATAGACATTCGAATAATTGTTGAAATTTTAGTTGAAGTGCCGCAAGGTATGATGATGACAAAAATTTGTTCAATATGGTTGCTTTATTTCTTAGAATCAGAACAAAATTACTGACATCACGCGCGAAAATGACATTTTCAAGAAACCCGTTTTTTGCCACATCAGGAAATTTAGCTATTTCGAGAGGTGTTTTCAGAAGAAAATCATTGAATGACGAACCAATTATTTTGTATTATTACTTATTTCAGGTATAACTTTCCTTGCAATTGTTGTTGGGTCATCTGATTCAATACTTTGTTTTTGATGAAATGTTTTCTTTCAATTTTTTCCAAAAATGTTTTGTTTTCTTGGCGGCCTTATCATAAATAGATTTGAACTGGATAGTTCGTTTCCAATGCGAATAGTTCTTTAAGATTTGAGTTGAACTTCTTCATTTACCAAATGCCTATCAACACCTTTATTGGAATGTAAGCTTTCACAGCTGGCGTCAATGTTTTGGATGGTTTCTGGGTTTGCCGTGGTCTTCTTTGGTTATAATCTCTAAACGTTTCGACTACAACTGCGGCAGTAATCTTCAGTGGCGTGGTCGAAGTACTCTTCTTGACGTGTCAACTGAAACCGAAGCACCCATTTCTTCTGTGTAATTTATAGTGCTGATTTTTGCGCACTTTCTGTAATGGAAAGTTCGCGCTTACCTCCCATGGCACACAATATTGAAAAGCGCCAAAACGAAGCCAAGTCAACCAAATCGTGCGGGAAGTACGCCCGAACCCGCCATTACAGAAAGTGGGCAAAAAATCAGCACTATAAATGACACGGAAGAAATGGGAGCTTCGGTTTCAGTTGACACGTCAAGAAGAGTACTTCGACCACGCCACTGAAGATGACTGCCGCAGTTGCAGTCGAAACGTGTGGACAGTATAACCGAAGACGACCACGGCAAAACCCGGAAACCATCCAAAACAACACTTTTGTTCTTGAAAACTTTTTTGAGAGAAAAGTGGACTTCAAAATATTGAAAAATATTAGGTTGAGGAGAAACAGGAGTGTGCGAAATGTTGAGTATAAAGTCTGATAACTGAAATGAAGAAAAATTTACTTTCACATTGAAAATATCTGTACAGTGTTTCAATAATATGACTTTGAATCATTTATCACCCTTTGACAAAGCTAAATTCGTACAAAAATTGTCAAAAAGTCTCCTGAAAAGTTCCAATAATTTTCATCTTGATGCAATACATATTACCAAAGGAAAGAATAATATGATTTCAATAAATTGACTACAAAAATATAAAATATAAACAGTTTTTTTTTCAAAAACTTCCACAGACTTTTTTTCAGTTCAAGGATGGTCATCAAATTATATTTATTTCAATGTTCGTATTTTCTTATTATCAACAGTTATTAATTTTCACTATATCAAGTAAATTAATAAAAATAAATAAAATATTTTTAAGATGTCTCGAGAACTGGGACCGTTGTTTTTGATTAGTGTTCATCATTAAAGAGTGTATCTAAAATTACAACCTACACCCTATATGACTAACCTTTCAAAGTAAATAATATAAAATATAGTCTCTTCAAAATAGTGATGATTTCATATAGTTATCATTTATTTCATTTTTATGAAATTTAACATTTTGTCCAAAGTTTTGTACTGAAGGTATGAAATATAAATAAACTGTGAATGAAAATTCATAATTTTTATTACAGGTACATCTAAGTCTCAACTACTACAGTATGTGTATAATTTGGTACCAAGAAGCCAATATACATCTGGCAAAGGTTCATCAGCTGTCGGCTTAACTGCTTATGTAACAAAAGATACAGAAACAAGACAGCTTGTTCTTCAGACCGGAGCACTTGTTTTGGCCGATAATGGAATATGCTGTATAGATGAGTTTGACAAGATGAATGACTCAACTCGCAGTGTGCTTCATGAGGTAATCAATTTGTAACTCTTCAGGGGTTAGGGTAATACAAAAGATACCACCACTGACGGATTGCACGAACTATTAAAAAAAATAAGTCAAAAACCACTTTTGATCAATTACACATGGTTTACAAAATAGCTTGCAATTCCTATAACAAACAAAAAACAATCCGATAGCATTAGTTTAACATTATATTACCAGAGGTCATAAATTCAACTCATGACACTTGTATTTTTATTTTTCTGATTTATTCGGCCGTTACTTGATGAAGACCCATAGTAATTTCAAAAACTACACCTCAAACTAAAGTGAATCACTTTAAAAAGCTAATGTCTTAGCGAAACATGTTGTGATATATTTTTCAATTAAAGTTTGTGGAGATCAAACATGTATTTTTAGTTTTTCCTTATAAGAAGAGATCATTCTGATAGTTGATTGAAATTGAAAAACAAAAATTGTTTCAAGATTCAATATTGAAAACTCAAATGAAGAAACTAAAATATTTCAACTCAGCAATTACTACACTTGCATCTATTTAATGATGAAAGGAAAAATAATATTGTAAGAAACATTCAGGCAATCTAAAAAAACCTCATACTCCACGCTTTTTTCAATCCAGTCTCTTGTTAGCAGTTCAGAACGATGGTGACTATTTGTAAGATTTTAGAACCCAAGTATCAATTGTGTACACAGCTATGTGAAACGTCATAGGTTTGAAAAACTGGTTATTTTTCAGAAAGAATTAGAATTAAACTTCTGTATTATTAACCAATTTTTGTTTACTGAAGAAAAATACATATTTTATTTCAGTTGAAGTATTGTTGTTTGGAAAGAAAGGTTTTGGCTTTCCACTTCTCCATCTTCATACAAATATTAACCTTTTTCTAGTAAAGTACATGGAAAATTTTCAGCTGATGAGAGTATTAACATATCTGACACAATTTAAAAAAATAATGAAATGTATATTTGAACATACAATTTTATTTTTTCCCCCGCAAGTGCATGTTTAACTTCCTTTTGAGAAGTATCAGTGAAAGCCACGTGCTTTAGTATTTGTCCAAACTACTTTTGACATAGTGGCACTAATTTTGATTATATTCAATGTGTTTTACTGAGATAAGTTGGTGATTAGTAATTATTTGTTTTATACCAGAATCATCGTTTGATAATATATATATAGTTTTTGAAAGATGTTCATTTTAATTCTTTCAGCATTGCTTCCATTGGTGTCTTTCTTGGCCTTATTAGTATAATTCTTGGTGATCTTTCAACACAATCTAGTTCTGACAACATTGATAATAGTAAAACTTCAAATATTGAATACTCATTCGTGTGCAGCTCATTGGATCAATAATATTTCAGGTAATGGAACAACAAACATTGAGTATAGCAAAAGCTGGTATTATTTGTCAGTTGAATGCCAGAACCTCCATATTAGCTGGTGCTAATCCATGTGAATCTCAATGGAATAAGAATAAGACCATTATTGAAAATGTTCAGCTTCCTCATACATTACTATCAAGGTAAACAACTTTCTTGATAATAAATACATTGTTTGAAAAATCGCTTTTTGAACAATAAAAATTCTTTAAGTGGGGTATAAGATATACCAATACTTCATATGTTACCTCTGTATGAAAGAGGGCACATTGAGTTTGATATATTGTTAGTGTTCCCCGCGGATTCGCCGATAATTGACCACACTATGCAATCAAGCTCAATTTTATTTCACTACAACACCATCAATACAACACAAAAACTTCAGACTAATACTCAAATGACTAACGCCTTATTAGCTCTCTTAGTACCGTACTTTAAACTAGACTAGTCTCCTCTGCCTGTTGATAGTGCTTATATAGGAATATTCTCGAAGCGGCGCGACCCCTAAAAGGATCGAGAATACAAGTAAGGTTGAGCACGACCTTGGCAGAGTCACAGTCAACCGGTAAACACCAGCAGTAAAGAGAGGCTATCTGCGTTTCCGCGACTCTTTCCCTTTCAATGTCTAATTTGAAAATCGTGAGTTTGTTCATCTGGAGTTTGTAAGTTGAGGAGCCACCAAAGTGCTGAGTGCTGAGAGAGTACTGCTGGCAATTTTTCCAGTCCTTTACGAAACGCCAGTAATAGATACAAAGTCCAAAGAAACTGTTTTACTTCATGCTCGCTTTTCGGTGTTCGCCTCCTTCAGAGGACACAACGTGTCCCAAGAAATTCACCTTTTCCTGGAAGAGGCAGCACTTCTGCAAATGAGCATTCCGCAGCCTCGTGAAACATTCCCCAAATTTGACAGATGTTTGTTAAAACTTTTTCCGGTCACTATAATGTCGTTGAGATAGACCAGGCATCCAAGTTTAGCACCAACTCCGTCAAGCGTTAAAATGTTACGGATGCATTGCATAATTCAAACTTTTTTATTGACCTTCTCTGGGTATTTTTATCTTCCAAAATTTGAATAATATGAAAATTGTAATGGAAAACTTTATACACCAGTAGAAAAAACAAACTTTTTAGTTCACCCCAATAAGTTACTTTGTATTTTTCACTAACTTGTATTCAATGATTTTGCCTATCAATAAAAATTGCTAAGAAATTATCCAACATTTATCGTAACGTGCCAATTTCTTTCGATCGTTCAAATCTTGGGACACCCACTTTTAGAGTTTTATGATATTTTCAATACGTTTGAAGCCATCAAAAACCGCATGGAAGCTGATGCCTAGTTTTTTCCCCACACCACACACTGTTTGTGACGAGCCTCCACCAGAGTCCTCAAATCCTCGTCCTTGGTTACTGAATTTTGCAAACCAACATCTAACAGTGTGTTCATTAACACCATCATTGCCAAATGCCTAGTTGAATTTTCGGGTTGTTTCGGCAGTGCTTTGGTTCAATTTGAATTAATAGAAAAAAATTGGCCGGAAATCGTTTAACGACATCATGTAGTAATAAGCTGAAAAGAGGCAAAAAATCAAAATTTGGAATAAAATGAACAGCTTCAATGTAAAGAGTATAACATTATCAATCAGTATATCTGTATATCAGTATATACTATGACATAGAATAAATATTTATCGAGATATGGAGCTACAAAAACACAGGACAATAAACAAAACTTTTGAAATAACTAATAGAAAGACATAAAGCTTTTTTCTCAAAAATTAATCTCTCCCAGGACATTTACGACTTTTCAACATCAATTTTATGCATGAGTTCATTCTTTTAATGTTGTTCGCTCTGAAAAAAATCTGTTCAAAATCTGTTTTTCCGTTAATCATCTGTCGCCCCCATACAAAGGACAACGCTCAAAAATTGAGAAATTTGTGCGAGCTAAAGACTAACGAGGTCTTACCTTTTAACGTGTGATTCCTAACACGGTTGAAGAATCATCCCAACCAGATAAATTCTCTTGAAAAAAATTTCTGGTCGAGGCGGGAGTAGAACCCACGGCCTTCCGATCGTGAGTCGGGCGCACTGCCACCGCGGCCAATTCCAGTGCAGTGTCCAATGTCCAATGCAGGTGTTTAGTACTTTAACGTTTATACACACTGAATTCAGACAAGGATCATTTAGGAACACTTCAATTACTAGATGCTACACTAGGCTGTTTTATAGGGTAGGCTTAACTATACTTCGGGTATTATCGAAAGTACTACTAGGTTGTCTTCATTGAAATTAACATAACTCTTGAATTTTTTCCTAATTTTCTTTATTTGTACTTTTCCAGAAATATATCGATGAATGTCAACAATTGTGGGACCTATCATGATAATTAATTCAAGATTCCAAATAATAGCATGATCATTTAATCACAAGACTGTACTTTGATAAATATTTTAATTGTTTCAGATTTGACTTGATTTTCCTGATATTGGATCCACAAAATGAGAATTTTGACAGAAAATTAGCTCGTCATTTGGTGTCACTGTATTACAAAACAAAGGAACAGGAGGAAGATGAATTTCTTGTATGTTGATCTCTTACTTTCGAAAATTCCTTTACGAAACTTGACATTTCTATTTATGAACTGACAGGTAGAACATATCTATCACATACAATTAATTTTCTAGAAACTGTTTTGACAGTGGAAATAGCCACCATATATCAAGTTTTGTAAAAAGAACTAACTTGGATATACTTTATTGTCATCAACTTTTTAGGACATGTCAATTCTTAGAGACTACATTGCTTATGCCAAGGAACACATTCATCCTAAGCTTAGTGAAGAAGCATCTCAGAAGTTAATACAATGCTATGTAGATATGCGTAAAATAGGGGCTGGGCGTGGTCATATATCTGCTTATCCTAGGCAACTCGAATCATTAATTAGACTCTCAGAGGCATATGCCAAAGTGCGCTTTTCTGCAACTGTTGCAGTTGAAGATGTTGACGAAGCATACAGGTAAGATTTATACTGTTTACATCGTATTTTGAAAGTTTTTATATATTTTTGATGTTGGTCTTGTTGCCAGCTGTTTTTTATAATAATATATAAGTTTATTCATGGATAAAAGTAATAAAATTTTTTGAACATATACAATTTATTCATCAATTTCTATTTTATCCCTTTCAAAGTATTCCCCTTAAGATGTAGTACAACCAACGTTTTTTTCAATTTTTCAAGCAGTTCTGATATGCACTTTTTGGTATGATCTTGAGCTCTCTCGGCGACTCGGTCTTTATCTCCTCAATCGTCTCTTCAATCTTGGGAACAAAAAAAAGTCGTAGGGGGCCAAATCTGATGAATACGGTGGCTGAGGCATGATTACGTTGTTCTTTTTGTCAAAAAAATTAGGAACAAGCAATGACGAGTGAGCAGGTGCATTATCGTGATGCAAATGCTAAGAATTGTTTGTCCTCGATACCTGACATTTTCTTCATATTGCTTCTCTTAAGCGGCCCATAACTTCCAGAGATACTCCTTATAGACTGTATGAACTGCAAGAACTCCTGATGTAGTATGCCACGGTAATTGCAGAATACAATGAAAAATACCGATATTTGATCAAACTTGGCGTGCCTTTTTAGTCTTGGCTTTCCTGGGGTCTTCCATTGGGACAATTGGACTTTGGTTTTGATGTCATAACCATATACCTATGATTCGTCACCACTTATGACCCTTTCGAGCAAATCTGGATCACCGCTAATGTCATTCAACAATTCCAGAGCGATGCTCATGCGACGGTTATTTGGTCAAAATTCAGCAATTTTGGAAAAAACTTAGCTGCCACATGCTTCATGCCCAAAATTTAAGAAAAAATTGCATGGCATTAGCCAACCGATATGCCGACACACTCTGCAACTTCTCTAATATTCATACAACGATTTTCCGTAACAATTTTCTTCACTTTTCCAACATTTTCATCCGTTGTTGATGCGCTGGGGCGTCCAGGGCGAGCGTTGTTATTCACATCTCCTTGACTTTCTGTGGAAAGTACCACTCGTAAACATTTCTTCTGATTCAGAGTACATTCACCGTATGCCACTGTCTACAATTCAAGTGTTTTTGAGTACTGAATTCCATTTTTTACACAAAATTTGATGCAAATTCTTTGATACATTCTTTCAATTACAGAAAATCGTCAAACACGCAAAACACTTCTTTTATTTCTCCAACCAACAAACTGAACATGCTAAACAATTGAAACCGTGAACGTATTTTGGAGGCGGTATATCAACATAAAGAACAAAAAAAACACTAATTTTATTACGTAGCCCGCGAAATTTGAACGTTCACCTTATTTTTTTAACAGTCCAAGTATATTATTTTCAAATATCTTTTTAATATATTTTTTTTTGTTTTTACCATTCCAGCCTCTATCTTCACTTCAGTTACACTTTTAAATGTTGCGGTTTTCTTTTCTTCAAAATGATAATCCTGTAGTGTTTCTTTATCATATCCCATTATGAATTTATCATGCAACATTAACTCTAACTGATTGTTTTCAGAATTGCACAGTGTTGCCAAATTTCTTAGTCAGGACGACCACTTTCTGGGCGAAACATGGTTCAAAATGTTCTTCCAATAAAGGAATTAATCCTGAGTACTTTTCAGTTTCTGGTTCAGCCGGCATGCATAAACTAGGAACCAATTCATAAGTATCACCACATAGCATGTTGACAAGTATCCCTCCTTTACATTTATCGTCACTGATAGTGTTTTGCCACAAAATAATTTTCGATTCTCCTCTTGAAAATAGATCAGCTGGCTATTGATGAATTGAATTCTCGTCAATGACCTATGTACTTCGACACTGCCATTTCGAATTTTGGATATGGTTTCAGTTCGTGAAATTTTAATTTGAAATTTCAAACTCGAAGTCATTGAAAATCCTTATTGCCACTTTACTAATAATTAAAATAACGGTCGTAGTTTTCAATATTTATTTCTCATTGACTCCTGTATCTTACCAAAATACCATCACCTCTTCGATGTCTCCTACTTCACAACACCTTAGAAAAGTAGTTAATTTTATATAGAGGTTAGCGTAGAAGCTAATCACAATCTATTTTTGATATCTTCCAAGAAATTTGAGATAAATTTATTTACTGTGAAATAATTTGTCCTTTCCTGTAATAATCACCCTGAAGAGACCTAAGTGTAGAACAGAGACTCCACAAACAAAACGTGGACAAAATAACATACAAGTGTGTACAAAATTGAACCATTAACGTTTTTGAATTGATGTTTCATTTGAGATAACGTTGAGTTACTCTAGGGTCTTGTTTTGTAATTTGTTTGGCATTTATTTTCACATTCAATGAAGAATTGGCAGTGTCACCTCTGGTTATAGCAGTATATGAACTCGATTCAGGTATGAAAATCCATGTTATCTTGACATTTAGTTTCAGGTTTTTCTGCATTTGAATTTTTAGAACATCCACAAATTTCGACTTCTGAGGGTTGTCATCCGTAAGAGGGCGACAATTGTTTAACGAAAAAACAGATCTCAACAGATTTTTTCAACAGTTCAGTTTCAACAGTTTCAATTTGCACATCTGACAGCCGACTGTATTTTTTTGCATGTATAACTGATGAACCTTGTGCCGACGCCATGTTAATGATGGCTGATTATATGTTGAAAGTTGGTCTTCAGGTAATTCGGGAAAGTGTCTTTTGCAAATGTATTTTTTTGTAGTTTTTAATTGCACTTACTATTTGTTTTTTTTTGTTACGTATGACCCCAGTCAATTGACATTTCCGAGATCTGTAATTCACACAATGAATACTGTTACTGCCACATCCCCTGCATATTGTTTTCATTTCTTTTACAAATCTGTTAAAATGTTATCATGAAAAAAAGAAATTGATGTAATTTTTCTATTCATTAAAAAAGGTTAACTATTTCACTTTTTGTGTAATTTCCATCAAATATGATGAACATTTTTACGTTTGAATTATTAAAATCTCAAATTTGAATTTTCAGATTACATCGTGAAGCTTTGAAACAATCTGCAACAGATCCTCTGTCTGGTAAGATTGACGTCAGTATTATAACAACTGGTATGAGCACTGCAGCTCGTAAACGGCGACTGGAGTTGGCTCAGATTGTTAGAAAACTCATCACAGATAAAGGTCAAGTTCCAACAATCAGTTACCCTAAATTGTATTCCGAGTTGAAAGAAGGATCAAATATGGTAAGTACAGAAATTAGTTATTTGTTATCATTAAATAAAAATTCACTAGAATTAATAGCCTTTATGAGTACTTTAAGCGTGACATCTAGTTATTGCCCGCGGCTTCGCCCACGTCGAATTTGGTTTGTCACATTGAGTTTCGTGACAGACCATTAAACAAAAAGTTACAATATTTTTCCAACTCGGGTTTTCAACTTTAAAACTGACGTATTGAATACAATTTCCTGATTCCTGATTCAATTTCCTGATAAAATTCAGTCAAGGAAAGCCGAGTTACATCCTTCACTCAAATGAATCATAAGGTTTTCTGCCTTGAGTATTTTAATGTCTTTTGTACATAATCCTAATTTATTTGAACTTGCTAATACAGTTTACTGCGAGATTTTCACTATGAACGGTTTCATGAAAAGATGGATTCATTTTGCTTCCTCAAGCAAAAATGAATCCATCTTCCGGCGAATTAGATTACTAGAAGCCAGTTCAAGAAGTGCCTCTTAAGAAATTCTATTACCAATTTAAAGTTGTTCTTATCCTATCCTAGAAGCTGATCAGATTCATTTTGAGTTGAGATGATAATATACTCACAGTTCATCGAGTTGTGTCCATGTGTGCTGATCTCAAGTAGAATTTTGTGTTTTATGAACTCTACTTTGTTGTGATGAAACTCAAACAATGATTGTGAAAATTACCAAATACTTGTTGAAGAAAAATCACCCTGTAATGTGCTATTATGGGGATTTCAACTATTTTAAATAATCATAATCTTCCGATGATTCTGTAGGCTAAAAACAATTGCTGGTCTCTTTTTTATCGATTATATCAAACAACAAATTAGCTTTCTTACTGTGTGGGCAGTACTTCGATGATCACCCAATTACCGTTTCATTACTATTCTGATAATATAACAACTGTAACTTGTTAATGTTGCAATGAACCGGTCGCTGACGTGTGATATTTGTGAAGATATTTTCAAACAATAAAAAATTACGTATTATAGCATCAGAATACAGAGCAATTATAGAGAAAAAATTAAATGTATTTTTCTCAGAAATGAGAGGAATGTTCAAGTGCAACTGTCATTCTCGAAAAAAAAAAATAATGACCATCGAGAAACCAGTAGAAGATATAAAAGATAAAGCGTGTGATATAAAAATAATGTGGATCAAATGAAGGCTAAACTTGAAAATTATTCAGATTATGTGAACACTCAAGCAACAAATATAGAAAATACTAAAAAAATGGAAATCATTATTGACATTATCACTGCTCAAGTTGGAATATTTGGCATTAATTAGAATTTAATAGTGAAATTCAATTATATTTCCCACTCTAATGTATTAATCCTTTCTATTATATCATTTTTTGCAGATGGTGACAAAGGATCAATTTGAAGACGTTCTTAGGGATTTACAAGAAGATAATTTCATTATTGTAACCGGTAGAGCAACTATACGTGTGTGTTCCAGATAAAACCACTTAAATTGACAGAAAGATCATAAAACAAAACAAAAAAAATGCAGTAAATAAGAGTTATTTTTTTCTACTGTTGTTCAATTTTTTTGTTAACTTATAATTTACTATTACAACTCGAAAGTATCCATTACTGCAATCTACAACTCATACAACTATATAAGAAATACAAAATTTCATTTTGTGAAAATATTTTCCTAATTCACAATAAAATACTTTCACTTTTTTTTAAAAAAGCATTTGTGATTTACGATATACATCTCTAAACATTTCTCAGTGGTAAGAGTTATGATTTTTTCTCCTCCATCTACAGAAATGACAGAAAACTCGCACCAAGATAAACAAATTTTGTTGCCAAAACCAAGCTTCAACATCGACTGTCGAGTGAGAAATCGTGCTCCGTCATCTGGATTCTTAGCATGATATGCCATGCCAATGATCCTGATAATAAAGTTTATATTTTGTTTTTTAGAGCCAGAAGGATACATGATTAGTTATAAAATTTGACTTATTGGAAATAATATGAGAATTTCACATGCTGCATGTCTGGAGGAGGGTTTTATTCACTATCATCAGATTTGAGCTTTCTCATCAACCCATAGATATCATTTTTCATAAGGAAAAGAACATTGAATCATTTCGTTATGCCATTTTCCTTCCAATGTATCGCCTCTGAACGAGGCGATCCAACCTGGATCGTGGCTTCATATCGTCATTACAGCAATGCTTCTCAGGATTATCCAATTAATAAGAATTTGATGAATGTGATTTGGTATATATTAAGGACGGTTTTGAAAATCAGTCAGATTAGTTCAGAATGCAGGTTAGTTTGGAGTTCAGACAAGCAAGAGTGAATATGAGTAATAATAATAATAATTTTATTGCAATACGATCTACAAGTGGATACAGCAAAAGTCAAACTTTCGAGAAGTTAATTCTCATTTACCCTGGAATTACCAATTTTAAAATTAACAGATATTAATGTATCATCATCGACAAATTACATAGCTATTTTTATTAAGGTGACCTTCCACATTCTGAAAAATGAACAAAACTAAATCAATAGAGAATCTGCTGTAATAAAAGGCAAACTGATAAGTTCACCCAAAAAGCTACTGTGTAATTTAATAACTTGTATTCATAACGTGATAAGTGGAATTTGGAACCTCCGATGTGATATGAATCTATTGCAAACATTATTCGCTCACTAGAACAAAATTACGCGTTTCGTTAACCAAGTTATCATCATGAGATGTAACCGCGCGTTTTGCTAACTAAGCTAGCATCATCAGAAGATGATTAAAACCAGTGGTCGAAACGCGCGTCTACATCCCCTGATGATGCTAACTTGGTTAGCGAAATGCGCGTCAAGAGACACCAGTTTTGTTCTGGTGAACGAAAAGTGTTTACAATAGGTCGGTCGGTAGCCAGGCGGTTCGACGTGGGTGCTTTGTTCACTCACTCGAATTGATAGCCGTGTTGGTCGGTGGTTCAAACCCTAGTCTGAACGATCGATTTTCACTTTCTATCGTCCAACCCGTGTTAGGCATCACACGTTAAAAGGTAAGACCTCGTTAATCCTTAGCTCGCACAAGTTTCGACTTCTAAGGGTTGCCGTTCGTAAGGGTGCGACAGCTGGTTAACGGAAAAACAGATTTTAAACAGATTCTATTTCTGTAAATTCCTGTGTTTCATTCTCAAAAGCATGAAAATTCACTTTGTAGTTATAAAAAAACAAATGAATTAAAATAAAAAACGTTAGAAAGAGTGTGAGGAGTCAGGGATATCAGTATGTGTATAGATGAGTTCATTTTGAATAGAATCAAACTTCGAGGAGAGTCAAAATCTGAAGTAACCATGCGGTTCAAGTTATATTCTCTGTCAGCTTGAAAAAAATGATTAGACATTATCATACCCTACTGCTATGTTTTAGTGTTATTTTAATGCTTGTTTTTGCCTTTGAATAAAATTAAAGAATGTACTTTTCATATTTCATGTAGCATCTTCATGATCTTATGTTAAAATGTAAGACCTCATTAGTCGTTAGCTCGCACAAGTTTCGACTTTTGAGAGTTGTTGTTCATAGTAAGTAATATCCTTCCTATAANGTCCTTGTCTGAAACCATACTGTTGTGGAGCAAGTATCTTATTCTGATTTAAAAAAGTAACGAGTCGCTTGTAAATTACTCTTTCAAAAACCTTCGATGGTGATGGTAGTATAGATATGGGTCTATAGTTGTTTAAATCGGTTTTTAGCCCTTTTTTGTGAATGGGTTCTCATTATTTTATTTTTGATGATTGTTATCCCACATCATACAGAGCATTTAAAAAAAGGGAAGTTTGTTAACTTCAGTTAAGATATTTGGAGAGAAGTGGTCGTGTATTTTTTTCTATTTTGTGGAACATCCTTTATTTGGTTGGGGTCCACTCGATTTGATTTTGCTAAAATTAGGAAATAAAAAACATGCATGGGTTCAGTAGTAACTTCAGGCTAGGACCTTAAAAATATGATAAATATGGTAGCAGTTATAGTTGTTTTTATTTAAATTAGAATGAATAATTGGACGCAGCTGCAGTAGGATCTTACAATCTAATCAATGCACGAATGTAGTTATATTAGTTTCATCATAGCCATGAAAGAATAATGTTTGAGAAATGTGATGCAGAGAAAATTCAAACAAAAAGAAATAATTAAATATAAAAAATTGGAAATTCCTCACCACATTAGTGTGTTACTGTAATCTGTAGGGTTAAATAGCAAAACAGTTTTGCAGAACTGGTCGGCAGCAAAATGAAGGTATTGGGATCTATATGGATTCCAAACCAGATGAAAATGCTTGTGGCGGTTGGATAACCTACCTTGGAAATACCAATAGGCTTTATTTTTCTGTTGCCTAATGAAAGCTGGCAGATCTACAGAAAATGATCCCGGTTGAGATATTGGTTTCAGATATTAATTGGTAAAAATAACTCATCTCGCCTAAGGGAAAGGATCCCATTGAATATAATGAGAAACACAAAAAGTGGTACCTGCAGTGAAACCCTTCTGATTCTGAACCACAACGGAAGTCAAGGCTACTCAAATAGCTTAAATTTATTTTATATGGAGTATTGGTTGAGCATTACTTCTTGAAGATTTCAACCAATCACAGCCTACAATTATACTTTTTAATTATTATTTGACATCAGCAATAAACAAGATTGAATCAAAATAGATGAAGTAATTTGCAAGGATTTCTTCAATCTGTGACTTCAATCTTCAATAGGTGACTGTAACGTAATGTAAACGAAATTTTACACTTTTTAACGAGAGAAATAATGATTATCATTATCATAAATTTCGACAGAAATAAACTCTACTATATAGTAAGAGACAGTTGAATCGGAAATGCCATGAAAGACAAAAAATTTGGGTTTCAGGTTGGGCTCTCCCCATTAGTCTGCTAATACATGTCAATCTTGTTGATTATTTCAAGAATAACTGACTGAAATAAGTGGTTGCAAATTTGTATTTTTATTCAATACATATAAAAAGTATAATGAATACTTGATGTAAACAATTAAAACTAAGCTAATCACAGTTAAATTCAAAACAATCACCGGAAATAAATAGTTTGGAACATAAATATATTGTAGGAAATTCACATATTATGTTTCACCACCGGTTGAGTCCATGAATTTCTTTACGCAAATTCATCCAATCCAGTAATTTTTGGGTTAGGTTCTTCTTCTTACTCAAAGCTTTGACAGCATCTTGGAACTTATCATCATTTCTTCTCAGGTACATCAAAGCATCTCTTTTCAGTTGCTCCAATTTATTTGGATCAATTTCTGCTATGTCTAACATTTCTGTCAAATATGGATTGAAACGATAATAAACATTCCCAGGTAACAAATCCGATAGCATTGTGTGAACTCCTGAAACAAATTTGATCTATTTTTGCAACTGTATTAGAATATACGGAGTCAACACATATTTTAATAGTATACCACCGTTATTATATTAATATGTTGGGGTTTGTGGAGTAACTAAAATTATTCATTCAAAACAGATTGTTTTAATTAAAAGGAGTTATACAAGAAATAGGGAGTAAGAAAACCTCACATATTGATGACATGTCTATCAGAATTTTTTAGTCCTTCCAAGAATGGAGTAGTTATCCCCAGAGCATTCTTGTCAAAACCCATGTAAAAAACAAATTGAAAACTGAAGATGAAGTGTTTGCAATGTACAAGGAATATTAATTTGATTAAAACAAAAGTAGAGCTCAATAATGCACTTTTTTATTGTACTTGGGCACTGACAAATCCAAAAGTGACATCGGTCTGGTGCTGTGGGCAACTGAAAAAACTGGTGGACGGAAATATACTGACTCTCTACTGGATGCCAGAACATTCAGTCGTCATAGACAAATACCAAATCTTTAATATAGGACAAGATCAGTAAGTGGGTTAATAAGAAATACAAAGATAACACGGGAAAATCTTCATAAAGAGACCATCCGAGAAGAGAACTAAAGAACTGTTTCTACACAGCAAGGATTGACTCGAAATAGTTGAAGGGTACTGTCTACTGAGAGGACACCTGATCAAAATAAGGCTGCATAACGGAGGTAAGTAATCTATGGAAATCCCACATCATGTCCTGAAGAATAAAACAACAAAAAATGGAGGAAAAACGCTATGAGCCAGCCCATGATGTTCTAGTGTTTTCCAGAGACTTGAAAGAAATTGACAAAGCAGATGGTTGCCAAGAAGAGCAAGGAAATGAATTGGTATTCGTTGTTTATCTTCATTGAATTTTTGGTAAAAATCTGGTGGTTATTACCAAGATATTGAGCTCACCTCAATTCTACCAACAGGACAAGTTCAAGGTAAGTTTCCCTAACATTCATAAATAATTTCTGATTTTTAACTTCGTTTTGTATATGATGTATTTGTAGACCTGCCTTGTATAGAAATTTATAGATGATGTTTTAGATCAATTCAAGTTCATGAAAACTTTTTCAGCCATTCATTTGTTTGTCTAAACACACATTAATACAAACTGTAATTTATTTACCAATTAGGATACACCAGTCATTATTTGTAGATTTCAGTTTCATATGTAGCATTTTTTTTTTCTTTTGAGTGACGGGCCAAATTAGGCAGCTCACGGTGTATGGAAAAAATAAAATTTAACTTTCAGAGATGGTACTAAATTTCGTTTTTTTTAAGTACATTTCTCAAACCCTTCATTTGTGATACTGGAAATCGCTCACTCACCTTCAGTATCTGTAGCACTATCCAAAATAGCAAAGAATTTTTTCTTCCAAGATGAGTTGCTTATTGGTGTGGTCAGCGATTCTGCAGTGGTGTCCATTGGATTGGGAACAGTTCTGCCAGTACCAAATGATACAACACATTGAATTGGAGTATTGGGCCAAAGCAGTTTTGCCTCATGTATGGCCACAGCTGTTGGATTGTTTACTAGGATACCACCATCCTGTGAATAATATAGTATTGAAATGTTTTGAAAAATTAAATAATACTTTGACATGCCATTTGTATTTTTTTTATTAATTCCTATTATGACATGTTCATAATAAAATAATTTGTTATGCCTAAATTACCAACTTATTAAAGAATTGCGGTATATAAGGTCCTCTTCAAATATTTCAGATTAAATTTCAAGGTGCCAATAATTGAATACTTTTTTAAGTGTGATTATTGTTTCTTTATCATTGTTATAATAAAAATTGGTAAGCGATTTTTAATGAGATTACTCAATATACGAGTATGGTTGTTGAAATTATCAAATAATTTTTCAAATTCTCAACATCTTTCAATTCATTCCATTCAATTATAAACAAATAAAAAATTTATTAGATTGTTTCAAAAGTTTTGTCTGTTTTTATGACTCTAGTTCGACCTGTAATATCTCAGTGAATACTCATTCAATGAATACTCATTAATCAAAATGAGCACCATTTGAATCAGTGCCAACGTAACCACAAGTCGATTAATATCGTCAGAATGAAAATTGTGTACTCGGGATTCGATGAAGTCGAAGAAGACCGTTTTTGTCTGGTCCTGATTGGCGAGAGGTCTGAGGAGTGTGATGGTTGAGGCAGAACTTCGACGCTCGATTTTTAAATTTTTGGACGGTGATTTGTGAAACGTGCGGAAGAGCATTGTCATGGAGTAGGATCGAACCTCTTCTGTTATCACACCAGCCGCTAATCACCATACTGTTGTCGTAGAGGATCCACTTTTCATCACAATTTCTGTCGAATATTCAAATCGTAGGGAACCCACTTTTCCATCTCTTTGACCTTTCCAATAAGTTTAAAAAAATCAAAAGCCTCAGGGAGCTGACGCATAGTTCTTCCGCCATCCCACTCACCGTTGATGATGGGTCAGTCACCACCAGGGTCCTCAAATCCTTGTCCTGGATAGGCGGACCATTTCGGGCCTCATCTTTAAGATTTGCCGCACTCACAGGGTACTCGGTAAATGCCATTCTTGAAATCGCAGTCCGCGCTTGGTGGCCTCGTTTTCGTGAGGCTGCTACGGATGGTGTTTCCGGATCTGAAGCAGGTTCTGATGTTGTACTTGAACCCAATTCTTCTTATCCTTACCAACAATCCTCTGACGTAGGTAAGGACAAGCAGTAGTTGTGAAGGCTTCTCATCCTTGCGAGGTTCTTGCAGTCTTCTAGCCAAAATCTGTTCCACCATCACTTTGGAGTAACCATTTTGTGTTACGTAGCAGCCTCAGAAAAACCAGAACACTTACAATTTTTACCATTCATTTAGTACCTATACCTATATTAGATCCCAAACAAATCCACTGGATTTATGTGATGATTGTTAGACCAATGATCACTTATGGTGCAATTGCCTGGTGGCCGAAAGCCACAGACAGGCTTGTCTGGCTCTCAGTGGTGCCATCAGTACAGTACCACACCCACGGCTGCTCCTCGATATGGACCTCCTCTCCACATTTTTCTGGAGATAGAGGCTAGATGGACTGCATACAGACTTGTGCACATTGCCAATTGCACAAGTCAATTTAATGCAGAGTGCAACAGACTGTTGGTTGACACTGGAAGTCACAGCATTCTGGAAATGACCTCTGACTTTATGACTCCAACTGTCAACTACGAACTGCCTTATAAAGTACTATTCCCGAGAGATCCTCCGGGAGAAGGAAATATTAAGAGCAGATAGTTGTAGGTTCACAAATGGATCAAAAACACCTTCCTGTTCTAGTGAAGATGTCATAAAAATATTCTCGGACAGTCAAGCGGCGTTGGTAGCTCTTGGCTCCTACCGAGCAACGTCTAAATTGGTAGCAAATTGCCAAAAACGACTCCCCTCGATAGGAAGACTCAACAGATTGTCTCTCGTCTGGATTCCTGGCCATACTGGCCTGGAAGGCAATGAAGCTGCTGACTCTCTTGCAAAGGAGGGTGCTGCAAGCAGCTTCATCCGGCTTCATTGGCATCGCTTTAGGCTTTGCCAAACAAACTTTGAACACCTGGATGGCAAAAAGATTTATGGACTTCTCCACGCCAAGGCGTTTATTCACCCTTCGAAGCTGGATACCAAACAGATGTTGGACTACAGTAGGGATGAACTAAGATGATGAACTAACAGGCCTTCTTACAGGTCACTGTCATTTGAATCATCATATGCAGAGACTTGGACTGTCGGAAGACAGTGTGTGTCGCCTGTTTGGAAAATGATGAAACAGCAGAGCATATACTTTGTGCTTGCCCCGCTGGGGACCGAATCAGGTTCTTAGAGTTCGGCAGAGCCGTACTCTTACCACGGGTTGCGGTGTAGTGTCGAATGGACCCACTCACTTTAGACCTAACCTAACCTAGTACCTATATTATGTTGAAATCCTATGATTGATATCTGACTTAATTCCATAACGAATATTGGAATCTAAACTGGGTAGAGAAAACTGTTTTTTCTATAATTCAGTGTTCATATAAAAGTATTTCTTTCGAAAGAATTTTTCTTTCGTGTAATTCAATGTTTATATGAAAGTAGCTGTTTCAGAAGGGCTTTTTCTTCCAGTTTGTGTCTGAAATTGAAATTGATTGCTTTCTTTCTTTCTCTGGAAGATTCCCACATTTTTTCGTATAAAGAAACTGGATTCGAATTCTGTGCGCTTCTTTCTNAGTCACTCCTAAAAATATAACCCTTTCAATTTTAATATTAGTTGTTTCTATCAAGTGAATTTCACTGAAAATCGATTTTACAATTGATTTAACAAAACACTGAATATATGTCATAATGAATGATTGAGAAGTAGTGTACCTATTACACCAGTAATAATAAAAATTAATATAGGGGGCAGTACAAGTAAACAATTTGGGGGGCTGAAAAAGCGAATACCATTAGAAAAGATTTCTCAATCTTTAGAATGAATGTAGAACTCCAAAGAAAAAAAATTACTACATTAAAACTTCCAAGAGAGAATTTTCCGTGAATTTTTTTCAATTGAATCAATGAGTGTTCTAGATTTTTTTTTTTTGAGAAATGAGTAAACAGACATTAGTTCATACCTGATGAAGCATGTTGCCTATTTTGAACTCTTCAAAGTATGTGGGAGCAGCTGCAGATGCTCTTACAGTTTCCCATACTTGATGGTTGTAGCCACCCATATACTGAGACTGAACTTTGCATGGTAAGGAGTAATTTCTAAAAATATATGCTGACAATCGAGACTGATTCACCACTGCTGACACAGCACAAAACTGCAATACAAAAAATTAACATTAGTGTGTTCAAATAAAACAAAATTTTGAAGAAATGTTGACTATTGCATTTTCATGTTTTAGGCTTCAGCCAGGTTTAATGTTTGTGAACGAAAATGATATCAAAATATGCTCTTGGCGAGAAAATCTGTGAATCTTACGAAGTATCGACTGAAACAATTTCTTTATAAAACAATTGAAATGAGATATCCTGAAAATGATGGAAAACGCCCTCAAGTTTTTCATATACTTGAAGAAACTATTACAAATCAGTTTTTATAAAGGATTCTCTTAATTACAATGACCATTTCAAAAAGTCAATGTAAAGTCACATATCAACGATGATATCTGTTGCAGTAGCAGAAAAAACGTTTGTTACATTTGGTTCCATTCGACCACGACCTACTAGCCCGGATTTTGTTCTCTTTAAAGGAAGAGTGATATTTGATTATTTGCCTCAATGCATAAAATGAAACAGTTGAAGGCTAGGTAGTGTTTACATAGTTTGCTTTAGACCTGTTTAATGAATAACATGAACATATACTATGAGTTTATATTCTTTTTGTTTTTCTGGAAATAATCGCAACATATATTTCTTGTACACCAAGTTTAATCCCAAAATTGAAAAAAATTGCCATCAAAATTTTATTTAGGTTGTAAAATGTGCAATTTGCTAAGACGATTTGAATTAAAATAATATTTTTTGAACTCACATTTGGTACTTTTAAATTCCTACGAGTTTCAATCAATAACTTATTGTCCCACTGGTTTTTCAGTAGTTTCTCCCATAATGCGGTATCATAGTAGGAATGGCTCCACACCAAGTTGCTTGTTCCTTTCAGGGTAGATTGGGTAAAAATTTCGGTGCTTATAGTTTTATAAATTTCGGCGATTTCATTCAAGGATTTCTGTTTTAACACTGAAAATTATAACATTTCAAAAATTAACCCATCAGTTAATGTGAAGTTTATTCCAATTTGAGTATATTTTCAATGGTTTGTCAAGTTATTAAGTATGAAATATATCAGAAGAATGTGCGAAATAGAATTAAAATTCTTGATCTTATTTTCTTTCAAATGAATTAGGTATGATTGATATTTCTGCAGACCTCAGGTTACCATAATTTTAAAAGAGTGCAGTTAACCAATCCTGTAATGGATAAGCAGCATCTTCTACGAAGTAATAATTTGGTTCACATAAATTGCTACCGACAGGAAATATGTCAGATGTTCGGAAAACTTGTGAACCCTACCTGGCCAACAAATTTCTACATCAATGAATCTGATTTCATTTCTACAGACTGCTTGCAAAACTATTGAATCATTTATTATTCTGTTATAATAATCATAAGAATCATCTATTAAATTAAATCCAAGCAGTGCAACAACCCACATATGCTGAACCCTCAGCAAAATAAGAAGCTTGTCTTCAAGTAAGGGTGCAACTTCATATGATTTGCACAAATTCTTTTTAAAATAACTTCTACGGTTACATGCAAGCACGTAAATACTGTTGATCTTGTCATAATGAATCTATCATCTAAAGATCAATAACTTTCTAGAGTAGCCAACATAAGTGGATGACATGAAATACACGAACACAACTAAGAGTTGAATAATAAACATAACCTCAAAATATTTGTAGAATTATATTAATCTCTTAAATGTTATCCTAAGCATTTTTTGGTATAATTGAATTTTGACTATTTTACCGATGCCAGTGAAGCATGACTTTTTTATATATCCATTTTCATATTCTCATCTATATCTAATATTCATCTAGTCTTACCTAAAAGTGCTGCAATGATAGCACCTGTACTAACTCCACAAATGAAATCAAACATTTCATAAATTGGTTTTCCCGAAAGTTCTTCCAATTTTCTAAGCATCTCTATAACTAGAATGCCTCTCACGCCTCCTCCATCTATAGATAGAACTCTTATGCCTATTCCGGGAACTGGATCGGTATACCCCAATAAAGCAAATGCTACATTGAGAGCACTCTGCAGGTCATAATTTTCTGCTGACTGGCGAATACGTAGTAATGTACGAATAGCTCCTTCCTGAAAGACATTCAATTATTATAGTTTTAAACGTTATTCAGTTAGGAACTTGGGGAATAATATAAAAATTCCTTATGTTTGAAAAAACTTGCGATATTGTGATGATATACCTTAACTGCATTATGCTTTGCCTCAGGATACTGTTCAAGATGTGATATGAGATCTTCGATTCGTCGTATTTTACTTGCATCAGTTTCAGCTACTGCTAACGATGTAAGAACATGACTTGTTCTTAGCGATACAGATTCCTAAGGAAAAATATTATTTCAGAGATAATAATGTTCCTTTGAAATGAAAATATGGCATCATATGAAATTTGAAGTACAAATTTATATTTAATTTTTGATATCACTCCAATAGTTTTTTTAAATTAACAAGTATTTGGTAAAACTTACGTTTGAAACAAGTTGTTTGTTAATCTTCCATCTTGGAATGTTCTCTTTCTGTTGATTCTCCTTATTTGCAATATTTATATTCAAGCCACTTAATACACCAGGTAATGATAATTTACTCTGTTCCTGTTTAG